CACAATGTAGTACAACTAAACCCTGATGAAAATAAATATTATCTTCTCACTCCATATCCCACATTAATGCAATCACTCAAAAAATTTTCACCAGAAAGCATTCGCGCTATTGCTCGAAACCCAAATATAGACTTACAATCAATAGGAATCTATTCAAAATCAGATATTCAACATCACATTAGAACACAACAATTCCAAGAATTATTAACACAAATGGACACTATACAAAGACAATCAATAGACCAAAATTTACGCAAACTTGCAGAAACCGCAGGATTTGCCGATATCTACACGCAAGACTATAGCGGATATTTTAAAGACATTAAAGATTATATATATCTAAACGGTGAAAAATACCGTCCCCAAGATATATCACCGATTAATATTTTTAGCTTTGTTACACTCAAAAATGAGATCCTCGATTTTCTAGGATGGCCCTACTACATCTTAGAAAAATTGACTATTTTATACGCAATGTTTAACTTTATTGGATTTCTTTTCTCACTTTTAAAAGGAATCTACAACACATGTGCTATACACACACAAGTAAACAGACAAGCAAGCGTAGCACGCATACTCTTTGCAGGATTTTTTGGAATCTTTTCTACATCTATAAACAAAATTCTTTTAGACGCACAAATAAAAGAATATAACACAAAAATAGCAACACGACAAAATACATACGACGAAGAACATAACAATGTAGACATAACGCCAACGGCACCACAATTACCACCCCTACCAAATAACCATCCACTATCCCTAGTCCCACGAAATTTTCGAAATTTAGCCATCACACATAATCCAAATTTTCAACTCACCACATCACAAAGTCCCATCCAACATATAATGACACACCAGTCACAAGACCATAATACTTATGAACAAATTATTGAACAACCCCATACCACCGCTTTTCAGTCTCAAAATAATCATTTTTTTAGCCCACGATGAGCCGCCAACTTGGATCACTACACCGATCAAATTCCCACCCAACCAATCTTACCTCTCCAATCCCAATAATACCACTTTTTGCTTTTCCGCCACCCGATTTTCCATCTAGTAATGTAACATCAGGCATGAATTCCGACACTAATTCACACATCTCAGTTTTATATTCCATCTCACAACTCAATAACCCAAATATTGAAACCCCCGATGAATTTGCCGACTCAGAACCATCCCCATCCAATAATTTTCATAACTCTTCTAATTTTTCTCAACCCCCTTTTCAACCCATATTATCCAATAACCCTGACCCAATCACTCCCACACCCTCTTATGCTTCCCAAGTTACCCCAACCTACTCCTCATACCATTCTGACCAATCATCTCATTCTCCAGACACCCCCCGAATCTCCCCAGAGCTAGATAATTTTATTACCCTTCAACAACAACCCTACCACCTTAATACCCAAACCATAAACCAAATCTCCTCCACTATAAATTCATCCAATCCCCCTACCCCTACACCCTCTTCAAATTATACTGAATCATTAGCACCATCATCCACATCAACTGAATCTTCACTCAACACTAATAGAGCTTACCGCACTTTTAAAAGAAAGTTCCCCAACCATCCTTTCCCAGCAAAACCAGGAACAGCCCGTGAATACATCAACCACCCCAAGCATACTAACACAAAAGAATTTTTAGCCATCACCTTACCCTCATTCCCACAATACACCTTAAACACCCCCCACGACACTAACGAAACACGCAACTTTGTAGATGAATACGTTTTAATGCCCACTCTCTCTTGGACCTCATATTATCATTTTACTAACCCTCTTTGCTTACCTTTATCTAACACTCACATCGATATAGAGCGAAATACGGACATGCTATATCGACTCACTACACCACTAACACCTAGACAATTTACTTACGTTGGATATAAAAAATCACTAAAAACACACACTGCACCTAGAGCTAACGAATATACACTCGAATACTATGATCACAACATCATCAGAGCTAACCAAGATCAATTCTTAGACGACGATCGCTTCGCTAATCCACAAATTACCGAGAAATTTTTCATCAAGACACCATATATATTTACACTAAACATCTTCGACCGAAAGTTTGATCACATTATTCCAGAAGCACTAACAGACACACAAGCATACGAAAGTTTTAAAGAACGCTTCCAAATATTTTCACTAACCTTTCATTTCCTTGCACCACACGAAAGAGATTTACACTGCTCACACGATATTATGTTGCGCACTAAACAAACCCACACATATAGTTATTATCGCTTCATCCAAAATCACTTTGACCTACACACACCTTCTAGACAACCACACCATCGTTTTCAATTCATTAATTCCAAATACACTTCACCATTTTTCCTAAATTTCACATATTGCATTAAAGATACTAACCTTCATGGTATTCTTCGCAATTATGATCCCATAACCCAAATGTACATCTTCTGTCCCATCACCAAGACCTTCAACGCCGAAGAATCCCGACCCTTCCTTATCCCGCACGAGTTTGTACAACCTATAGAAATCCCAATTTTAGAATTCATCCACAACACTAAATTCAATCACAAATTATATAATCTAATCCAAAACACACCTTATGAGTTTGCAGTTGGCACTGAAGAACTAACCACTATTAAGGCACTTCAATTGCTTTGGCCACTGCTTCAGACTAAAAATATCATCCGCATCTTAGCTAAACTACTAACAAATTCCGATCTCATCCACGACATCTTCCCCCACGGTTTTTACCCCGACGACTAACAGGTAAGTATGAATTAAATGAATATTACTAACTAATTAAAATATTAAAAACTCACCATTCTTTATCCATGTTTTCTTTAGATTTTTAGCTTTCATCCGACAATCACCTACAAAAACCACAAACGACAAATAAAAATCGCAAATTTCATCAAACAAATTTCAAAAATTCTATTAATCTCTTACACTTATAAATTTATAAATTTAATACCAATGCAGTAAATTCATTTCTAAAATTTTCCCCACAAGCAGTAAATCTAATTATGATGAAAATTTGTAACTTAATTTCCCCCAACAACTAGCAGTAAAATTAAAATTCTATGTAGTAAATTCATAAGAAATAAAAGCAGTACTAACCTTTTGATATTTTCATTCACTCGCATAAAAATTCTATCCAAACTCGCACAGCTCGCCCACGAAGAATTGTTTAAAATAATGAATTTCAGTTTCAAGCTTTCACACTCGATAACTCTAACACAAGATAACACGTTTCAAACTTTCCTTTAACCCGGTTGGAAAGGAATTATATACTAAACAAAACTAACCAATGCAGCTTACTAAACACCACAACACATAGCATAACAGCATGACTAAGAAAAGGAAACCAACGGTACCCAAACCGGATTAACCCAGTTTAAAACTGGATAATTTATTCTTTTGAAGACTATTATAAAGTCTAAGAAAGAAATAATAAAACACAAAAAAGTCGAAAGACAAACCCATACCACAAACAATTTGATTTTTGAAAAAAGGACACAACCAACAAAACATAAGAAAAACCACAACAAACCCAACATAAAACGTTGTCACATAACAGGACCCCTCACAAAAACCGCATGAAATCATACTCCCACTCCTGGCCTAACCCACCAGGAAGGACGTCCTGAGCATGCTCTATAGCCGGCCTAACCCACCGCGCTACATCCACGCTTTGTGACCACACCTCTATTTTTAATAAGAGCTACTCAAGTGTGAGTAACTCTTCAAAATAACCGAACTAAAACAAAAAGCTTTTGTGAAAACAACTAACTAAAATCATAATTAAAAAATATTAAACTAATAAATGTTTTATAAAATGTAAATTACATTATGCAATACATAGATCAGAATACAACACCAAGGACGAACATCTAAAGACAAAACGACCCCACTACACTCGAGAGAGAATGACCAACCACAATCGATATGCCACTCACAATCACAACTCAAAGGATTTAGAGTACGACTTGACTTCGCAGAAAAGGACTTCATTGAACTAGACCAATGACCACCTCGATGTTCAAGTATACGTACAGATCCGAGTAACCAGGCATCCCCTCCACGCACAATCTCCACGCCATTCCCAAATTAGATCAGACACAAAAGAAGTTCTCCACGCAGAACAGAAAAACCTGACATAGCAAACCATTCTGAAATCAGATTTGAGTTTGTTGCAAAGACTTAGTCGTTGTCACTAGAAGACACAACGTCTTATGTCTCTAACTCCAGCTTCCTGGAACTTCTTTAACAAAGAGGAAACAGAAGAAATATGATGTTCGCCAAACACCAACGTCCATCATCCCTCCTTCGAATTGCAGAAGAACTATTCTAAAAAACTCTGTAAAACCCGGATGGGTGGAACCTGATCTAGACTACATTTTATGATTGGATAATTTAGATATTTTACCAATGTAAAGTATTTAATATTAACCAATCATGATCCATCTAACTAACAACCCACTTATTTGTAAGTGCTGAAGTTACTTGTAATTTCAGCACCAGAGAGATTTGAATTTAACTTAGAAATTAGTTGGACTCTCCCGAGCACTTCAGCAGCCGCAATAAACCAGTATACCCTAGATCTATTGAGCCTAGCAGAGACTAGTTAAACAACCTGAGACTAGATAGTATAAGAGTAAGATTAGGATCGGTATTAGACTAAGAAGTTGCACGAATCTATCCGGCCGAAAATAAGATAGCGTGACGAGCAGACGGTGTACCCTATCCGAAATTACTCTGAGTTAACCAACTCGGTCCTAACTCAGTTCTACACCCCCTCGCTTTTCTAGATATATTGTAGTAAACATCCAACGCAGCATCTTGTGTGAGTTTCGTCCCTATACAGTCGAAATACAGCATGTGTAGATGATAGTTACCATATTTATGAATACTTATTGTGCTTTATGTGCATTTGTGCTTGTTCGATTAAGAGTGTGAAGATTGGTATCTTCCTCTAATTCTAATTGAAGCCAGGGAAATTTGTTTCAGTGGGTGATAACGGGGCTCTTCTTGGTTTGGGCGCGCCATTGTACGACCCAGTGTACGGGGTATACTACTACATGCCTTACTCTAGCTTCACAGATCAGAATGTCATTCGGGAGAGCATCAAACATCAAATGTTAGTTGTCATTTTACTGGTTTTGTATTTAAATCAGAATTATTAAGAGATCATCGTGTGCTAAGAAGTGCCACTGCAGCATCGTAAATTTGCCGCTCTCACAACCGCAGTTGATTTCAACATTTACCTTACAAACACAGTTAATTTTGACCTTTCCCTCTGAAGATTCGTCTCGGAACAAATTAACATCCTCCCTCTAAGCCGATTTGGTGTATGCTTTTTTAGGGCACTGCGTATTACCACGTGAAGTTGACTTGTACGCCGAGTAAAAGAGTGAAGTTGACCTTTACACCATTTCTTAACATTTGTTTTCTGCAAAATAGCAGTTTTTAATGTGCACTTCGTCGAATATTTAATTAAGCGAAATTAAATTTTTCACTTCAAAAATCGAGTGCTTTTGTTTCGTCTAAATGGTAACATAATCAAACAATTATTGAATGTTAATGGTTTTTAGTAAGAATTAAAAATGTCCTGACAAAAAGAAACGCGTGTTTTCTGCCTTAGACTTAGCCATTTTAGTTGTATAACAGGAAGATCACTTAATTTTTACGCTTGCGATAAGCAAGCGTTATCAAACTGGAATGTCAAGCGTTATCAAACTTTTTTCTAGTTAACTAGCTTAACAAAATCAATTGAATGACTTCACATGCTCTTCAGCTGACATGCTCAATTTCATGAAACTTGAAATTTAACTACCGGCTGAGTACTAGTTACTGCAGGGTAGTTTCAGGGGGACTTGAAACTTTTTGAAGTTTTTCACATAGTAAGTTTTTTATTCGTTCGACTGGTGTCTGCTCAAAAATTGTCGGCCTTGTTTCCGCTTCGTAAGTTTCGTCCAGTTGCTATTATGAATTTCAAATGTCTTTGGTTGGCCTGTTTGCCTAGTATTCATGTTTGATAAAAAAAAACTGGTATTATGATAGTGTAAGGGTTTTATATTTTATTTTTTTTGAGACGCTTTGGAAAGTTTTAATACTTTTTGCAAAAAAAAAATTATTTCTTTCCCAAAACCTTTTACCGAATTTCAAAAAAGAGTATACATAGAAAGACCGCCTGCATTCTTGTGTGCCTGCATACTCCCCTGGTCTCTTTTTGTTGTCCCCTTTTTGTCTACAGTCTTCGAAAACGTCTGTGGGGGGAATATTTGACCGATATATTTTTGACTGAAGCTCCCCCCAATAAAAGACGGATATGCCCAATTTTTTGCGCTTAAAATTATGGCACTAGGAATAGTCAAGTTTTTGATTTTTTACCGTTTTTTAAATCTTTTTAAATTTTCTTCTCAAAAACTAAGCCACGAAACCTGAGGTTGTGGGTTCAATGGAGAAAGCGGGTGGTGGGAAGCCCCGATGCATAAGTGGTGCCACTCACATTTTTTTACACAAAAAGTTATCGTCCTCGGAAAAGACAATTTTTTATTTTTTAAGCGTTTTTTTTTTCAAAATTCGTTGAATTTAAACAAGAAATATTCTTCTATATTTGAGGTTTTGAGTTCAACCCAAAGAACGGGTTGTGGGAAGCTCCTTTGCATAAGCTTTATGGCCATCTATTTTTCACTTTGAAATTCGAAAGTTGAAGTTTTTTTCAAAACTAGTAAGTAAGTTTTTGTGTTTCCTTGCGTTCATTGACACTTTTCAAATTGTCTGTTGGCTATGTTCTTTTGAATCAAGGATGTTATCTATGGAGGTATGCATGTAGTCTTGTATGTTTCAGAGAGTATTACTTCAGTGTCGATAATCTCATGCGAGACTTTTTCCTGCGCCGAAAGATGGACGTGAAAGGCTACCTGCCAATATCTCTGCTAGCTTCGTTCCACAGGATCCAAGCACTCACTATGGAAACTAGCGAAATAATTGCGGCAATTGAAAATAGCAAAGAAATAGAACTAAGCGAGGACAAACTCTTCGTACGTAAACGGGTTGATCCAACTTCGTGGCCAATCAAAGATGAGCTCAATCACGCCGACGAGTTGAATTTAGTCGGATATAGAAACGGAGACATGATTTTTGAACCGGATTTAAAGAATCTAGCTGCTGGGTTTTTTCCAGGTCCAGAAGTTGCGCCAGTGATTATAAGCGATGCCATGTATGATGAAGATACGCAGGACGAAGAATCGGAGTTCAAAAGTAACATCAAATCAAGCTCTGGAAAAGATCTGAACTCTAATAATATAGATGTCGAACATTCGATTTTTAAGAGTCTTATAAACGTTCCGGAGTTCATCCCCAAATTCGCGGCGCCAGAAGAGCAAGTGTCGTCCAGTGCGCCCAAAGCAGACGACGGGAAGACGACACCTTCAGATAGGCAGTCGAGAACAACCGCGGTTGAGTTGACAGTACCGCTGACCCCTGGACTGTCAAGTAGTGCCCCCGAATCTACCTCTGCGTGGTGCGAGGTTAGAAAAGGACGCTACAGAAGTGACTCTAATGACAAGGAGGCGCCAAACAAACACTCCACGTCAAAGGTAAATGAGCTTTTGATTTGATAAAATCGTGTGGCTTTAAAATGCGAAGTCATGTTTTCGTTCAGTGAAAGCCTGCGTTTGTTCAGTGATTAAGGTTCAATGAGCGTAGTGAAGACTCTTATATAGGTCCTGTTGTTATTTTTTTGATTTTTTAGGCAAATTCTTAAATTTGTTCACGCTCAAATTTGGTTTTTCGCGGTTTGACTTTTAAGTCAAGTTCATTTCCTTGGTTACAAGGAAGGCCAACGCCACTATCGAAAAACGTGACCGACTTCTAACTTCGAAAATTGAATTTGCTTATCAGATTTCCCAGCGAAATAAAAAAAAATTTATCGATCCAGTTTTCTCAAATTAGGTTAATTTTATTTTAAAAAAAAAGTGTCAATCATAAATGTTTTTGACAGTTAAAGAGCTGTAAGGGCCGTTCATTTTTTTTTGTAATTCCAAAGATAAAGTTTTTTAAAAATGTCCGTGTTTTTTCTATTTCATTGCGTTCATCGACTCTTTTTCAACTGTTGGCTATGTTTTTTGTTCACACATGTTAATTCTAGGAAGATGAAACGTTTTAGGAAATACATTTTATAACAATTTTGAAAGGCTGCTTGCAGAAATAAACACTTCACGATGAGATCAAAACACACAAGGGTCATATTGAATTTGTTTTGTCAGCTAAATTAGAAATGGGCAATGATCAGCATTTCAAATAGATTACTATTTGCACAAGCAATGCTTGTGTTATAGTATGAACTATCTTTTTTTTCCAATCTAAGTCGCAAATATTGTTGCGATAAAGAGTGTTCATTTTGATCAATAACCAGTTATTAAGTACAGCCAAAGCTAAGGATTTAACACAGACTGATATTGTTCCGACTTTCGTATCGAAAGTTACGGAATAATTGTGCTCGGGGGTGGTTTTTTTCTTCAGACAAATTTTGAATTTTTAACTAGCCATTTTCGACGGGATTTTTAAAAAAATCATTCAAAAAGTATTGTTGTCCTGAGCTTGAATTTGGAAAAATGTTTCACCTGTGATCATTTTTCGTAAAGTTATGCGGGTTTAAAAATAGCTATTTTGGCAATTTGGGACAATTAACGCGCGATATATTTCGCGCTATTAACGCGTAAGCGGAGATTTAATCCGTCATAGAAATCGTTGCAAATTGGTCGAAGGAAGCTTAGTTGCCGTAATTGATTTTTGATTTGTTAATAGGAGCAAAGCTCATCACTTTGTACTTAATATGGCGTGTGGGGGGATGATTTTCACAAAAAAAAAATCTCAAATTTAAAAAAGTTTCATTTTTTTGTTACATTTAATTTTTCAGGTTATTACTGCTCCATAGATTGCTCTATAAGTTGAGGCGTGTCAATTAGTATGTTTCTTCTTTTTTCAAATTGACTGGTACTGCTAATGCGTCATAATTGGCGTGTGTCACTTAAGAATATTTGTAGACTCAAAGTTTTACTCATTCAGTTTTCACATAAGCGTTATCGGTCATATTTTTGCTTGTGTATGCCAAGTGCAACTTTGCCTCTGTGTTCAAAAATTGTATTGGAGATTTTTGAGATCAGCGATGATCACACAGGCAACTCTTTGCTATAAGAACCAGCAGACTTTTTCCAGTATCAGTTGCGCTTTTTTGTTTTAACTTTTGATTCGATTTAATTGCTATTCGAATTTCCTAGCTGACCCAGATTTCTTTTATATGATTTAGTTTTATGAAAAAATGTCAATCGTAACAGATTCCTAAAATTCAAGGAGCTGTAAATTTTTTTAAATGAAGCTCAAATTTTTTAGCCTAGGCAATAATCTTATATAGGTCTTCGTTCCTGGTAATCTTTTTGTTTTGCTTCGGGAAAAAGTCGTAAAGTTTGAATTTCGCGGTTTTTCTTTTGGTGCCTTAAGCTATAAGGAAGGGAAACTGCACTATCGGACAGCAAAAGTGTAAAAGCGACAAAAATCTGATCGACTTTAGTTTTGAAAGTAGATTTTTATTTCAAAATTCCCAGTGTAAGAAAATTTTGACTTAATGATCCAGTTTTCTCAAATTTAGTTAGTTTCATCCAAAAAGTTCCAATCATAAATTGTTTCAATAAATCAGAGAGCTTGAAGAGCATCTATTTTTTTCTGGAAAACTCAAAAGTTGAGATTGTTTCAAAAAACAAGTAAGTATTTTTTCTGTTTACTTGTGTATGCCAAGTGCTACTTTGCCTCTGTGTTCAAAAATTGTATTGGAGATTTTTGAGATCAGCGATGATCACACAGGTAAGAACCAGCAGACTTTTTCCAGTATCAGTTGCGCTTTTTTGTTTTAACTTTTGATTCGATTTAATTGCTATTCGAATTTCCTAGCTGACCCAGATTTCTTCTATATGATTTAGTTTTATGCTAAAGTGTCAATCGTAACAGATTCTTAAAATTCAAGGAGCTGTAAATTTTTTTAAATGAAGCTCAAATTTTTTAGCCTAGGCAATAATCTCATATAGGTCTTCGTTCCTGGTAATCTTTTTGTTTTGCTTCGGGAAAAAGTCGTAAAGTTTGAGTTTCGCGGTTTTTCTTTTGGTGCCTTAAGCTATAAGGAAGGGAAACTGCACTATCGGACAGCAAAAGTGTAAAAGCGACAAAAATCTGATCGACTTTAGTTTTGAAAGTAGATTTTTATTTCAAAGTTCCCAGTGTAAGAAAATTTTGACTTAATGATCCAGTTTTCTCAAATTTAGTTAGTTTCATCCAAAAAGTTCCAATCATAAATTGTTTCAATAAACCAGAGAGCTTGAAGAGCATCTATTTTTTTCTGGAAAACTCAAAAGTTGAGATTGTTTCAAAAAACAAGTAAGTATTTTTTCTGTTTACTTGCGTTCATTGATTCTTTTCCAACTCTCTGCTGGCTATGCCTTTTTCATAAATTGACACACAACATTTTTTTCTAATTCCTTGCGTTCATTGATTCTTTTTCAAATGTCTATTGGCTATGTTTTTTGTTTGACAAGTATACTCTTAGGAAGAAGAAACGTTTTAGAAATTCGATGACGTAACTATTTTCGAAAGTGATAACTTCTTCTGCCGAGATCAAAATGCAACATGGTCATATTGCATTTGATTTGTCAGCTAAATAGAAAATTGCAAGGATCAGCATTTCAAAAAGGTCGCCAGTACAAAAATTGTGTTCGAGAAATTTGAGATCAGCAGTGATTACACAGGTAACTCTTGGTCTTAAGCCTCAACACTCTTTTTCCAATATCAGTTGCGTTTTTTATTGTCTGTGGCAATCCAAATAACACGAGCTGTATCTAAATAAATAAAATGGATACAATACTAATTGTATTTCACATACAGTCTGGTCTCGTGGCTGTATTGTTAAAGTATGTGACTCTGAATCCTCAGTTATCTGGTTCGAATATCGTGCTTCGGGATTCATTTGCGTTTCCAAGGCTTAGTTAATTTAAAGAATAGTTCTGTGAACTGAAGGTGGTTTTTTGTTCATGCTCAGATTTTGTTCATGCTCAATTGGATGATTTTTAAATTCGATTCGAATTAATTGCTAAAAAGCAGACAAAAGTACAAGTGTTGCGAAAAATATGATTGACGTTAGTTTCGAAAATGTTTTATTTCGTAGCTGACCCATAAATCTCAAAAGATTCTTGAAGCTCAAGGAGCTGTAAAAAATCTAATATATTTTCGAAGATTGATTTTTTTAAGAAGTTTCCCCTTTAAGATTCATGAACGTAGTGAATAATCTCAAATAGGCCTTCGTTCTAGGTGTTTTTTTTTCTGGAAAAAATAGGAACGTTTGAGTTTCGCAGTTTGACTTAAGATTTCCAAAGCTATAAGAAAAGGAAACTTCGCTATCGTACAGCAAAATTGAAATGATCACAAAAAATGTGACCAACTTCGAGTTTTGATAGTAGATTTTAATTTTCAGATTTGCCAGCATGAAAAAAAACTACTAAGTTATCCAGTTGCCTCAAATTGGTTCATTTTCATCAAAAAAGTGTCAATCATAAATTGTTCTACAAACTCGAAGAGCTTTAAGGCCATGTTTTCGAAAACTGATGTTTTGTTAAAAAAAAAAACAAGTGTGTTTTGCTGCATTCCTTGCCTTTATTGATTCTTTCGAACTGTCTGTTGGTTGTTTGGTCTATGGATGACACTTTGACTGTCTCTTCGCTATGTTTTATGGCTTCAAACATCGCAGTTTCTTCGTTTTGATTTGAATTTTTTTATGATGATGGTGTTGGCTATTCCTAAAAGCTTTTGAAGTTTTCCTGTGCATCTGTGTTTAAGAACGTCAAGATTAAGGTTGATGTCGAACTTTTCCCTATTTTCATTATAGTTGTGAACTCTTCTGAATTATGAACTGCTGTTTGATGTTGTTGTTTTAAACCACGAGGGGGCGCTTCCGGCATGCTCAAACCAAGGCCCATTAAGGTGACAACTTTGATTGGTTGAAACTGCAAGTCTATTGGGGTTTAAAGTATTGTTCTGGGAATAGTTACAAAGAAGGAGGTATGGGGAAGGTTAATTTGGGCGAACGTTTGTCATTTAGGTTAAGGTAAATATTGAGGAAGGGATAGGTTTCTCCTAGTAGGACGAGGAAGGGATTCTTCGGCGGGGAAGCTTCCAGGTGGTCCGAGAGGCCAAAATTTTGGGAGTTGTGCATTCGATATGGCCTGCCTGACTCGATATTTGTATATGTGGATTTGAAGTTATTGAAAATTGTTAAAGATAATAGAACTTCTTTCAGATAAGATAGTATCTATTTCGCGGGCGTATAAGTCAAGCAGCCAAGGGCGAACATTCCGGGGAAGGGGTTTGGGATGATAGTGATGAAAATAGTAGCAGATTTTTTTGAACAAAAGATTTCAAGCCAAACTGCGGTGCAAGTAGATGATAATCGTGGTCCACATTGAAAAGTTTACATTCTGAGTGTAAATGTTTTGTTGCGATAATCTTTGAACACCCTGTTATCACGCTGAGAATAGAATTTTTAACAGTTTGCAGTTTGTTCAGAGTTGTTATACTGGCAGAGTGGGACCAGGCAGTGCTGGCATTATCTAAAAGTGATCTCTCCAAAGCTTTAAAAGTAACCAGTAAATTTTCGTGGTCTGGCCCCAGCAAGTCCTAGATAGAACCTTCAGGATCAATATCCTGCGCGCGGCTTTTCTGAGTGTTGTCTGGCTATGTTCCGTGAAAATTAGATTGGGTGTAAGTCGTCCTTGTAGGACTGTAGTTTTACATCGGGGGTGATAGTGGAGTGTCATGGACTTATAAATTATGTCAAAATTGTAGGGGATAAAATTGAGCCTTATGTGACGCCTCCACGAAAAATCCATGGTTTTGACAAGGCGTCCTTGAGCATAGTTTTTGATTGACGCGCACTCAGGTAGTTTGACAACCACTTAATTAGGCTTTTCGGTACGCTCTTGCTATGAAAGAGATCCAGGTGAGCAATGTTTGATTGTGTGGAAAGCTTTTGATAAATCAAGTCTGGCCAGGTCCGTCCTATTTGGGGGCCTTTGTTAGTTAGAACCGTCGCTGAAAAAAAAAACAATTCAAGATTGGAAAGTGCCGTGGTGATTGAATTCATCGGGTGAACGGCCTGTTGATGATCAGTTTTGGGTAAGAACTTGGGAAGGATCGGAGGGATCAAAGATTCAAAAATTGCTGCAATTTAATGACCGGATAGTTTTCAGAACTTACTTGACGACGTGTGGTTAGTAAAAGTCTAGAAGAATTGTTGTTTTTTTAGTTTATCAAAGAGTTTAGTTAAGAAGCCATGCCAAAGCACTTAAACCTTAAATAAAGTGTCGGATGGGTTAAAAAGTCGTTTTTCATGTTTTTTTTGGACAAGTTTTTTTGTTTCCTTGTTAAGGGCTGAAGCAAAACAACAATGCCGGCCAGCGGGAAAGTTGTGACGTGTTGCAGCAAGTATATTTTTGCGAAAAGCCTGTTCTGCGATCTCAACATCATGCTGCAATAGTTTTTTTTGGTTTAACTGGCTCATTTTCTATGTTTAAACAGCGCAGTTTGCCTTATGAAAATTAATAAAATTTTTGCACTGAGCGAACGGTTTGTCTTCTGCAATTGGGGGGTGAATGAAAATCGATTGTGCGAGCTTAGCTTCAAATTTGTTTGCCATGAATTGCTTCATAAAATAGACGGCGAGGCCAGGGAAAGATATTGGAACGATGCTGGCGTGTACTATCAGAAGAGAGCCTAATTTAATGATCGTCCTTTAGTGAGGTCAACGTAGATTCAATTATTTCGGCTTTGAGTCTGGCCCCTCGTTGCTTCTCGGGATATTGGAGTATCAGAGAGGTGGTGTGATTTGTTAACACGGAGGAATATACTTCTCCTCAGAGCTGTAATTGAGGTTCTAAAATCTCTGGGTCAGCTAAAGCGGGGAGAGATGAAGAAATTTGTGATACGGATATTATTGTTGCTTGCATTTTCTTGTACTCATTGCGCCTCCAAAATTCCGTTTTCACTACTTCTAGTGCTTTGTATAGAAGGGAAATTGTGACTAGCAATAACGAGTCGACTTCCTTCTCCAGTATGGTCTTTTCTAAAAGTTGTGAAGTTTGGGCCCAGAAAGGGAGTGCTATTTTTTGTTAAATTGTTACTTGAAAAACAGTGATGTAGATATGGTGCTATCACATTATTGCTTCAATTTTCGGTGCTTCTCCAGAGGTAACATTGCAATTTAGTTGCAGAATAATTAGGGACTTGGTAGAGAGGGGTTTCATTGTAGTAGGGCAGAAATTCGGAGTTTGTTTGTTTACAGGGGGGGGGGGGGGGTTTGGGTTGATCACTGGGTTAGTTTTTGGAGGGGGATTTGTTACGGGCAGACGAGTAAGATCAGTGTAATAAGTCACAGGAGCGCTCAGTATATAATATTCAATTTTTGAGAGACAATTAAAATCTCTATTGTTCTCTTTGTGCTTTTTAAGACCGCTGCCTTTAAAATGGATCCAACCATATGCGTGGCACAAGACGCTGGCTTGGGCCCGTAATTTGTTTTTTTTTGTCTAGGGGAGCAGGGAAAGGGACCACGGTTAAGGTTTATTGCGGCATGAAAGAGTAGGATTCAAAATATATAAACGGAGCTACCCGACCGACTTAGGAAGCACCGAAACTAAAACGCGGAAAGAGCATGCTTTCCGCGCACCCCTGTATGGAGCGGGTAAGGTAGTGCCATTTGCGGCTGTAAGAAAAGCGCGTCGGGTCCAATTTTTGAAGACGGCTCTGAGCCCAAGTGCTGCTTGATATCATCCTGTGACTTTTACTGTTTTGGTCTGCATTTTAAGCTAAAGCAGTAGAAATAGGCTATAAATAATCTTCTCAGTACTACTCTTCTTTTTAGACAATTTTTGGGCAGGGTTGTTTCAAAACAGGGCGAAGACCATGTTTTGAGTCAGAAGTATAAAGGAATTACTGAATAAATATGCGTTGCTACGATCGAGCTTCTGATCTTATGGGTTATCGCTCCCAAGGCAGTTGGTAAAAGACCTGACCAATTCCACCGTTTTTTGTGGAAATTCAAATGACGAGAGTGCAGAAGACGGTTGTGGAAATGAGTGTTTCTAATTTGTTATATATACAATTTGTTGTAAAACTATTGTTTTTTAGCAATTGACAAAGTGAAACGAGATATTGCATTGAGCAGAGAAATGAAAATAAAGCGCAAAATGGGTTTTTAAAAAGTACATTGATTTTTTAAGTAACATCGGGTTTGCTGACACGGCTCAGAAATAAATGATAAAAACTACGTAGACTCAATCAACTTTTCTGGACATGATTTTCAAAGACACGCAATAATGCAGTGTATACTTAGGAATCCTAATTTACAGAGCAGTTTTTCAAGCAATTTTAAAATAAAGTTTTCCAATTCTGAAAAGTATTGCTTCAGGACGGTAGCAATGCAGTATATATTGGACAGACTAACCACCCGAGTAAGCACGGGAAGAAGAAGCACAGGAGCTCCAAGGGAGCAACTACTGCCTCGGGGGGAGGGGGAGACGCTGTTGCGGGGGCAGTGGGACCCGTAGGTGCTGACGGTATCGAAGAGTTGGAGTTCCAGTTTGACGAGGAAATTGCGGCGCCTGCCAAAATCAACACTTTCTCTGCTAACATGTACGGTCTTTTACTCTTTATCACTATGATAATTATTGCTCTGAATTTTGTAAAAGATTCACAAAGGTTATCCTTTATTGAAGGATTTGAGTGATGTTTGCTAGTTCGAAATTATTCAAAAATTATACGATAAAATACGTCTGATGTTAGCATAATTTGGAAAGTTTACCTACGATTTTTTTTTCCAGCGAATGGTAGTATAGTTGTTTCGCTTTGCTGGGCACATTAATATGACTGTTTCATGTTTATCTTGCACAATTCGCCTCGTTTTTTCATTTAATAAGCAATCGAACAGTTTTTGTCTTGCATTTTAGCTCGAAGGCCGAAACTAGGTCGGAGAGCGGGTGCTCTCAGAGCGACGACTTCGTCGACTCAGACGTGAACAAACTGCTGATCGTGACTCAAGACAAGGGCGTGGTTTCCGGTGGAACTTCCGCAGGTGGAGGAGGGGGCGGCGGAAACTCCCAGTTCGTTTCTACTTCCCAGCAGCCTTCTTATGTGCGTAAACACATGGGCTATGATAGGATCAGTGGGGCAATCGGGGGAGGGGTTCCATCTCGGGCGAAGGTTATGAGCGCCTGGGCGGAAGTGATCAATGAGGGGCTGTATTACTACGAACAGGAGCTGAGACATGATGACGATGATTACTCCATACACCATTATGTAAGTGGAAACTAACCTGTATAGCAATGCTGGTTCAATATTGGAAAACTGAACAGGATTTATTATCATGTCTAGATCGTAATAAGTTATTAATGAAGCATGTGAATAGTCGTGTGGTAATTTCTGGACCATAACTTAATTACCAGTACATTAACACCGTTGATGCATGTTTAATTCATCAGATGAACCGAATAAATTTTTTCGTTTCAAAACCAGTACAATAGTAAAACAACTCCAATTAAGAAATTTTCAAACTCAGTATATTTCGCATATTTTTTTTAATTCATAATTTATACACAAATGGGTTTTTTACTTTCCAATTTATTACATGCAAAGTTAGTGTGGTTGTCTTTAGTTAATTCCATTCCAAGTTATTACATCCAAAATTTAGGTTTTTATTGAATTTTGAAGCTCCCTTTTGCGGCTTTCTCGTTTGTTCTTTGGTTTCTATAAGTCCCGTTGAGTATATTTATTGTCAAAAACTCATTAGTTTTTTTTTCTCTTTTTGACCCTTTAAAAGTTTCTTCTTAGCGTGTTTCACTCGTTTTTGCGAAGTCAGATGGGCAATGTGTCTTAAATTCAAAAAATAGACTTTTTCTAGCAAAAAAAAATTGTGTAATAACATCACTGAATCCCCCCGCCCAATGGATTCATTTGACAATTCAAAATTCGAGTTGAAATGGAAAGTGCGAAAGCCAGTGATACAAACAATTAAATGCCCTTCGTGTGCAATTAGCAGCTGCTCGATTAGGAAACAAAAGCATATGGCAAATTTATCTCTAGGCTTATTGCTTAATTCGCAGCAAAATTTGTTTGATGATAAATCGTCGGTTAAATTTCTGCAAGATATGGGATTCTTATTTATCCTAGGATGTAATAAATTTGCCATATACTTTTGTTTCCTATTGGAGCAGCTGCTAATTGCACGCGAGTGTTATTTAATTGTTTGTTTGACTCGCTTTCGCACTTTGAATTTCAACACGAAATTTGAATTGTCAAATATAGCCATTTAGGGGGGTATAACAGAAAAGGAGTGCGGTCTGTATTTAGACAACCGCGTGTTCATACTCGTCAGTAAGCAGATAAATCCCTTATTAACCAATCAGAATCGAGATGAGAAAATAAATTTACGCAATAATTAATTATTAATTATTCATTTCTTCCTTGTCTCGATTCTGATTGGTTTACAGTATTTGTCTACTTACTGACAAGTCTGACTACGCGGTTGTCTAAATACTGCTATCTAACCAATAGAAAAGGCCCTCTTTTTAGCAGATTAACAGTTCTTTTAAAAATCCGTTCTATTCGAAATTTGTTTTTTTTTTCGTTGGCTGTAAATTTTGCATTCGCTTGTGTAATTTGGCATGTTTATCTCAAAATGAACTTAATTCAAAGCAATTCGAAACAACTATATTTTTCGTAAAACTTGGTCTAGTGGTAAAGCGCGAGCCTTGGAGTGCTGGGTATCGAGCCCGACCGGACGTTATTTTTTCGATGCATAGAATTTGATTTTTTTTTCGGATAAAACCAAGTGTCCGACTATTGCTTGTGTGCTATTTTTCTGGATCGAGTATCGGCTCAAGAATTGTCGACTTCGTCACGGCTTCGTAAGTTTTGTTTCGATGCTTTTTCATCTACAGTTGTCTTATTCGGCATATTTTGCTTACATCGAATTTTATTCAAGACCAAGATATGAACGTTTTGGTAGATATGGTTTTTCTCGGCGTTTTTCAAAATTTATTTCGACTTAGCGGCTTTCGTCTCAGTATAAGTCAGCTGGTTTGAATTGTTTTGCTTGTGTTGAATCTTGATAGGTGAAAAGCTCCGCTTCGTCTCTGGGTTCAAAAACTGCAAATCTTAATTGATTATTGAAATTCAAAAAGCTTCGATATACTTTGTGTTGAGTATTAATGAACAATTTTTTTAAAATGTATTTCAAGATCTCTAATTTGCCAGGCCTGTATGTGATGATAATTCACTGGTTTGAATTTTCAAAGCAGCTCGGCCTAAATAACTTGGCTGCGGGTGGCGGTGGCTATCATGCGATAGCACCCGGTTGTTCGTCCTTCGCTGACCTCTCAGCTCTGTACTATAACTCAATCTGCCATCCACCAACAATGTACCATCATTCTAACCGCAATAGTATCACTACAACTGCTGCTGCTAATTTGGCAGCCTTGTCGTCTTCAGCATATTTCAATAACTCTGAGCTTTCTGGAGGTGGAACCTCTTACATGTCAGCCCAACCGACCTTGACCCCAAATTCTCCAGTCGCAATGGGCCACTTCGCCTATGAAGACTACGAGGAAATATACCCAGCGGTACACAATTGTAACTGCATGTATGATTAATGTTAAACGAGATTTAAAGATCTCTAATGTATCCTTTGGTTCACGACAATTTAAACAAGAATGTGAGATGACAAATTGTGGCTAAATTTTCAAAAATTGTATTTAATTTTGTTCAAGACATGTAGTGTGTAAATGGCTTATTTTTACTTAAATCGGGTGTCACACATTTTAAAAGAATAGCATTGAGAGGACATATTTTTTCAATTTTGCATGTGTTGGTGATTTTTTCAGGGAATTGTTTTGAAAATTTTTTCTGGGTCTGCGGATGCTCTTTTACAAAAACACGTTTTTGTTTTGGACAAGTTAAATTCGGTCAGTAGACTCTTTTTTTCAAGTTTTTGATTTTTTCAGTATGAGTTTTTTGGATTAGATATGAGTAAACCGAAGTTTTCAACTATTTTATGGAATTTCATTAAAAGTTGTTGTACTGCAGACAGTTTTATACTCCTAAGTAATTTTTTGACCGTTTTTATCTGCATCCCAAAGGTATCAATGGTCGACCTGAGTTCGTTTTAAAATATAAACAAGATCTTTTTTCGTGAAAGTATACGGTATACGGGGCTTGCAAAGTGCCATTTGCAATAAATAATACTCGATATGGGTAGCAGTTATCAATTAGCTCGTAGCTAGCCAATTGAGCCAATTCCTAAATTGTTTCAGATTGTCTTCAGTAAGATTATTAGTCTATAAAATCTGTATCACGTGCGAATGTTTTTAAAAAACGTTAAAAAATCTTTCAGGCTTTCAAACTTACACGAGTGAGGCTTCGTGCTAAGTCTCAATAATTCGTATGTTCACTCTCGTAATTTTTTGCTCAATTTTAAATCTTTGATAAGACTGCATTTGCTAAAGGGCAGTACAATTCGAAAATCGGAAAAGAATTGCCGTTAAATTCGTTATTCTCAATTTGTTGTTTTTTTTCAAAAGCTTCTAAGCTTCTTGTTTTTGTTAAAAGTTATGTAATTTTGAAGTGGCATGAGCGAAGAGAAAAGCTTGTTTCGGTCCTCCCTTTTTCTCGGTTTGATTTTTTCTAAGTTCAGTTCAAATTTGGCTGCAAAAAGAAGGCAAATTTTGCTTTTCGCTACCGAAAAGGCAAATGGCGGGAAGAAGCGTGAATAATTTTAAGTATAGAAAAAATACCTATTCGTCCAGTTTTCTCAAATTGGGTTATTGCCAATAATAAAATGTTCTTGTAATTCGAAGAACTTAAACGTGATTAATTTTTTCTTCGAAAGTTGAAAAATATTTTTAAAAGGTGTTTAGGTTTCGTTGAGGTCATTAACACTTTTCTAACTTTCTGTTGGCTTTGTTTTTTATCATTAAAAGGCCCGTGTGTATCTATCTATGACAGTCAGTGCATATGCTAGATGTGGCAATCCAATGGTATATTGATGGATCATAAACATCATAAGAAGTGTATTCTATGTTTGAAGTATTTTGGAGGTTTTCTTATAAAATCTTGTTTTGCTTGATATAATCGGATTTTTGATTAAATCAGGGCGGCGGACACCCTCACCACAAATTGGACTTCATCTCATATCAGCAGTACCAGAACCTGTACCCGAGACCAAAGTTCCCAGAACACAAACTGCCACCCCCGCCCCCGGGAGCAGTAGCTGCCAACACCAGCACTACTTCCGAGGAACAGTCTTCTACAGGTAGGCTCACATGTTAGTAGGAAGAAATTTCTAAGACAGAAATCTTAGTGCTGTAGCCTTGCATTGTAAGTGTCATGTTATGAAACAAGAACAGCTATGTAGTTAAAGACCTAATGGTCATCGAGGCGTTTTTGGTCTCGTAAGGTTCCATGACTCAGTGATTAGCGAGGGTATTTTTTAGCCATATTGCGAAAGAAACATTAAAATCTCAATGATGTAATTATTGAATACTTAAATAAGATTAAGGATGATATTTTTCAATGCTCGGTTGCGTGCGGTTGAAGTATTGCGTTTGGTTGAGATTAGCCTCTAAATCAAGCAATATAACTCCTTCAATTCCATTGGATTAAATGGTCCTAATAAGAAGTCTTAAATCTACATAGTAGGTCAACCATTCTGTAAATTTTTAGCTGAGAAAAACAACTCCAAGTCCAATACCTCCAAAACAAGTGGCAATAATAACAACAGCAAACAGAACCCCAGAAATCACTACTATCCTAATCCTGCAGCTAGCTTCAACCACCCGTCTTCAGCCATGCACGGAGGAGGAGGCCACTTAGCGAGGAGTTGGGACTCACCTGCCGGGGGCTTCTATGACCCGAATGGCATGCACCACTACATGGGCTTCTATGATCCCCACTTGAAGCAGCGCAAGAGGATGCGACAACAGTCCACTAGGTTCTACCCGGTCATTAAAGACTACTCCTACCAAAAGTTCGACGAGAAGGTAAATTGTGTTGATTTTTTGGAAAATAAGGATTTGTTGGTAGTTATTTGAGAATCAATCCTGTAACTACAACCCCCCCCCCCCAATACGGGGGGGGGGGGGGCTTTTACAAAATCTGCGTATTCTTGACCATTGATTTTCTTCTTTATCGGGCGGGATGGTTTAGCTGTACTAGGTACCATATGTGGAACAGTCAAGGAGATCTGTCTTTTGGGATGAGCGGATAAAGCTAACGAGGTCAGGTTGTAAAAAATTAGGCTTGTTTTTGTTTCATCAATTGAAAGTTGGGGGGAATTTTGTCTTCGGGTGTGTTTTGTTTTTCTAGTTTTTTGCACGCTAAATCATCGGCCAAAAGTAATCATTAGACTAGGTCAAGTGATATATATTGAAGCCTTTTAAATAGTAATTTAAACGACAATAAAAAATTTAAAAAATTTTTTTTACTCAAGTGTCGAGAAAAAATGGTTTTAACTTTTGATTTTTACTTTTTGTTTAATTTGGAGCAATTGAAATCAGAAAAAATTGTTTCATAGATGAAAAGCGGTTTTTTAAGCTTTGAAAGTTTTCGAAGCTACATTTATCGCTTCTTTGTCAATGAAAACTTTTCAAATTTTTTTAAAAGCTAACTTTGATTTTTTCGATTTGTTTTGTTATTCATTTTTTGAAGACAAGTGTTGTTGCTTAATTTACTGAAGCTCTAAATTTTTTTATCTTTCTTCTCACCACACCCTGCACAAAAAAGGTACAAATTTAAAATATTGCTGTTTTTTAAAAATAGTCGGAACTTTTTATGCTACTTGCACAGCAACAGACTATCTTTGCTTGATTCTGGAATGTTTGTTTTAATTATGTTCTGTAAATTTAGGTGTACTACACAGTAAGCGGAAATTTTCAGTTTTTTCTTGACATCAAGTTAAACTTTAATTATGTTCTGTAAATTTAGGTGTACTACACAGTAAGCGGAAAATTTTCGTTTTCGTTCACATCAAGTTAAACGTTAAATTTCACCGAGGAGCTGATCTTCAATGAGCGGGAGGGAAATTCAATGTATCTAGATTAAAATTAGAAGAGCAATGAAACGGATATTATAAAAGGGTAGGTGGATCGAAAGGAAGTGATTTATCAATGAACGAAGAGGAGACACTCATTTAATCGTTTTTTTAAAAAAGAAAAGTCATTTTGATCACGTTCAAATTTGATTTTTGGGTTGAGATTTGATTTCTTTTTCAGTTCAATTGATTTTCTTTGTTGAAAGAAGGCAAAATTCACTATCGAGCAGCATATAGGTCACGAAAAGCGTGAACGACTTTTAGTTTCAAATGGATTTTAATTTTCGATTTCTCACCGGAATAAAAAGTTACTTTTTGATGCATTTTTTTTTTCAAATCGGGTTAATGGACATCAGAAAAATAAAAAATTATAAATTGATCAAAATATTTTTTCTTTGAAGTTTGAAAGTTCTTTCAAAAACAAGTTTATTTTTTTTCTGTTTGCTTGAGTTCATTAGTACTTTTCCAACTGCTTGTTCGCTAAATGTTTTCTCTAAATGCTCCGAAAATCGATGTTACGGTTTTTTAAGATTCGATTAACGTTCTTCAGACTCTTATATAGGTCGTGATGAATTTCTGAGGTCGTTTTTTTTTCTTCAGGAAAAGTGTTTAAGTTTGTTCATGCTCAAATTTGATTTTTCGCTTTAAAGCCATTTGTTTTTACTTTGCAATTCGAAAGTTGAAGTTTTTTCTGTTTCCTTGCGTTCAATGATTCTTTTCCGTTGTCTGTTGGCTATGTTTGCTTATTTTTTGTTTTTGTTCACGATACGTGTTTTTTTTGCTGTGCTTGAAGCGCAGTTTTGTTCTTTTGCTTAAGAATAGATAAACGTAGTTCAGATTCTAATAGAGGTCGTGTTTATTTTGCGCTTTTTGAGGAAAAGTTTTATAATTTGTTCAGGCTCAAATTTAGTGTTTCGCGTTGTACTTTCTACTTGTAAGTTCAGTTCTTTTCCTCTGGTAAACAGAAGTCAAATTCCTTTATCCAACGGCAAAAATTAGAATGCCACTAAAAGCGTGATCGACTTGTTTCGAAAATGGATTTTAAATATCACGTTTTCCAGTGGAATTAAATATTTGCCTAGTGATCTATTTTTCTCAACTTGATAGTTTTAATGAAACTTTCGAAAGCAAGTGTCTCGTAAACGGGAACTAGTCTTTTTCACGTAAACAACTTTTCTTACAAATTTTCAACTTGCTTTTTTATCGCTTTATTATCTTAACAATTTCAGGTTCCTTAGCATTAGGCCTAGATATAACGCTTTCGCTTTTGTACTCTAAGGTCCTGAGTTCGAATCCCGTTGGTTTTTCAGTATGTATGCAATTGGAAAAAAAGTTTTGGTCAATAATTGTGATTTGTCGGTCTTTCGTTTATCAGCTCCAGTTTTTTCGGCTTAGTTGCCACATCCACATCACTGGTGTTCTTTTGCTGCAAGCAAGTATCAAGGTAGTTGCAAGCGTCGTTCGTTGTAATTTTAGAGCTAGAGTTTTTGTCTGATAAAAACAGGTTTTATGAAAATGTTGGGATTGGTTTATATTATTAGACGCATTAGAAATTTTTTTCACTTTTTGCAAAAACTTAGTGTTTCTCAAAAACAATTCGACCGATTTTCAAAAAATGGCTACCAATGGAAAGACCGCCTCTTCTCCTGTGTGCTTGCATACTCCCTTAGTCTTTTTTTTAGCTTACCCCTCTGTCCTCTGTCTGCAGCCTTCGAAAAAGCCAATTGGCGGAGCATTTGATCCATATTGTTGATTTTTTTCGTTTTCTCAAAAACTACCCAATCAAATATAAGATAATGTTTTCGATGAATAGAACGGAGTTTATAAAGCTCCCCTGGATAAGCGACTACGCCCAAATTTTCTTTCAAAAAGTTATGGCACTTGGAGAATTCAAAATTTTTAACCGTTTTTTAAATTTTTGACTTTTCTCGAGAAATACCCTCCAAAATGCGAGTTTTTGAGTTAATCGAAACTTCAGGTTGCGTTAATCTTTTCTGCATAATCGGCTACGCCCAAGTTGTACACAAAAAGCTAAGGTTATTGGAAATTTCAATTTTTAAGAGCAATGAATGTAGTGAAGACTCATAGATCTTGGTGATTTTGTTTTGTTTTCAGGGAAAAGTCTTAAAATGCTCTGATAACTACAGATGTGCATTCATACATATTAACGCATTTATGAATGCACTTAGGTATATTTGCTCTTTTTGAGTTGAATTGAAATTTATCTGCTAAACGTGACGGAAATAGCACTTTCCAAATACGACCGTGGAAATGGCGCGAAAAATCGTGAACGATTTCTAGTTTCGAAAGTGGAATTTAGTTTTCAGATTTTCCAGCGAAATAAAAACTTTACCTGTTGATCCAATTTTCTGAGGTTGTCTTAATGTTATCAGCAAAGTGTCAATCATAAATTGTTCTAGAAATTCAAAGAGCTTAAAGGTAGATTTTTTGCAACAAAGTCAGTATTTTTGTTGTTTACTTGCGTTCTTTATTTTTTTCCAACTGTCAGTTGGCTTTGTTTTTATTTTTTGACCGTTTTTAGACTTTTTTCTAACTATCCTGCAAAACCTGATATCATAGGTTTAATCGAAACAAAAGGTTGTTGAAAGCCTATTTTTATAATTGGGTACACCCATTTTTTTGGAAAAGTTTTATGGCCTTCAAAAAAGGCAAAGTTGTGAAACTTACAGTTTTTTAGAAGTTTTTTTGAATTTTCTTAAAAATGTATCCTCAATCGAAAGAACCCGTTGCGAGAGTTTTTCTTGCGGAAGCGGCGGTTCCTTAATTTTTGTAAGAGAAATGCTATGTTATATATCTTACGGAAGTTGAAATGTTCAAAAATTTTTTTTTTTTTCGATTTTCTTGTTGTTTTACATTTCTCGAATCTTCAGTGGCTATGTTCTGGTTTTATGATCAAATTGGGTTAATTATCAAAAAATTATCAAGCATACAAGATCTGCCTTTTTTCATGAACATTTTTCCACTCATTTTTGGTCGACAAAATGGTGTAGAAATGAATGAAACGGGAGGTTTCAAGGAAGGTGTTAGACGCTCTTGATTAACGTAACCGAAGTAAAATTTAAGCAATGTATGTTTTTTTTGTGTGCGTCTCTGGGTGATAAATTGTCCCCCTCCGTGATCAGCTCCAACGTTGACTACTTTTTCTCTGGGTTAAATGTCAGTTTACTTTTTGTTCTGGAATGTTTTTCGTTCAGCTATCCTAATTTGTCCTTACTTGTAATGTAGACTCCGCGAAAGAAGAAGACGAGACATAGCAACAATCCTCCAATGGAACACCATGTAGGATGGATCCTGGACAACCAGGAACATATTCCGAGGAACCGAAACAACTCGTGTGGATCCAGTGTGGCGGATGGACCTCCTGCCAGTGCATCTCTGGGAAATAGCTATACCGGGTCCTCACCGGCTGCAGCTGCGGCATTCAACATGGGTCCTGCACATCCCTCGCAGGAACTGCTGAAGGAAAATGGATTTGTGCAGCAGGTCTACTACAAGTACAGAAGAAGGTGTCTCAAAGGTATATTCGCAAATGAAATTCGCTTTTTCAAAAGGGCCTAGAAACAAATTCGATTCTGTTATTTAGTATCTAATGCTCAGCATTCGAAATCAACGTCAATCACTAGGCCGAGAGATCGATGCCGGACGACGCCAGATGTTTTTGTTTGCCACAAAAGCATCTTAAAGTTGACTGCAGAGGATTTTTTGAGATTGTCGTTTTTTCCGTATTTTGGACGAGTATTTCACTTCTATGTAATGCTTGCGGAATGGAATATGGGCTTGAAAGTATATTCAACCTAATGATTTTAGGGATATTCAGCTATGAAGAGGGATTTCTACTACCCTCTTCAGCATATTTTTATCAGTAATCTCTGCATTTAGAGAGAAAGACCTTGGGCAATGGTCAGTCACAAGAGATGAACACTCTGTACAGGTTCTGGTCTTTCTTCCTGCGTGAACACTTCAACAGGAACATGTATACTGAGTTCAAAACACTTGCACGCGAAGACTCCAAAGACGGATACAGGTTAGTTATTAAGGTTTTTTTTTGAAATTTCGAATAAAGTTACAGAAGTCAATCATTCTTTTTGGTTTTGTTGAGCTCATTCGCACTTTTCCAACTGATCTGGTGGCTGTTTTTGCCGACCATTGGAACGATTGTGATTTAAATTGGTTTTCTCAAAAGAAAGCCTGTAAGTGCTCGTTAAAGCACTGTCAGTCGTTATTCGTGTTCCACGAAGGTTTTCAAGAAGCTCTTTCAGTGTCGAGAAAAACTGGTATCATTTTTTTATATTAAGACTCAAGTTTCAGAGAAAAAAGGTTCTTCATTTCAGCGTTAGGCAATCTTAAACTTGAAAATATTATCGACTGTTTTAAAGGCATAGTGTAATTTGTCGGTTTATCATCTCACTTTGAAAACACGGGTAAAAAATAAGGCGAAATACAGTAAACCAAATAAAAGTGGAAAAACGCAAATTGGAGTTAAATAATTGCATATTTTTAATTGTTTTTATTAGTTCGACCGAAGATGAGTAGGATCTCTTTAATTATATTCCCCTCGGGTACCTAGTAACGAATATTTCCTCTATAAAGAAACAAACCAACGGTTAAGCATATGAAAATTTTATACCTAGTAGCGAATGTACCCCTTTTGCAAAAGGGGGATATAGTTAAAGAGATCCGATGAGATTAACAGATTTAATCCATTTTGTTTATTCCGACCAAAAAAAAATTCTTTATGATTGATTGAAACTTCCTGATGAATTTAGGTTCATTTTTTGGCTGAAAATTTAACATACGTTTTTGTTACTTTTGTCTCTAGCAATTGATCGAGGAAAAAAACCTTCTTTTTTAATTTAAATTACTCTCTCACTTAGTTTACCTTTAAGTTCATTTAACAGAAGTGAATATAGTGAAGACTCGTATATAGTTCTTGATGATGTTTGTTGTTCTTTTAAAATGCTCTAATAACTACAGATGTGCATTCATACATATCAATGCTTTTATAAATGCACTTAGGTATATATGCACTTTTCCAATTGAATTCAAATTCATCTGTTAAAAGTTAGGTAAATTGCATTATCCAAATACGAAACGTGGAAATGGCGCAAAAAAAACCTAAACGACTTCTAGTTTCGAAAAGGGAATTTGATTTTTAGATTTCACAGCGGAACTTGTTAATCCAGTTTTTTCAAAATAAGTTAATTTTATCAAAACAGTGTCAAACATAAAATCATCTTGAAATTTAAAAGTTAAGACCAATTATTTTTTACATTGAAATTCGGAAATAAGTGTGTTTCCTTGCATTTGTTAGTCTTTTCCAACTGTCTGCTGGCAATATTTAGATGAAACCATTCTGCTGCTTTTTGTTCACCAAAATTTGTTATTGCACTAGCGAGCCTATTGTATTGGTATGACTCTACTTTTTTTGCAAGTTAACAGTATATAAAAATGCTTATTTGGTCGCATTTCTATTTGTATCTCGATCAGTAACATTGAAATTGTCAATACACAAACAAAGCGTAGTGTATTATTACGAAGAATTTTTTTAATCCAAAGTTGCAAATAAAAGTGCTCATTTTTAGCATTTTTGGTGTATTTCAGTTTAATCATTTTTAAGCTTATTTAAGCATAAAAAATTTAATGGCATATGTTGCTGCTTTATTTCCGATTAGTATTAGGCTGCCTTTTGAAGATATGTTTTCAAAAGGTATGGGATTTGTTGTTTTTCGTTTTTTTTTTGCGACGCTTTGGAAAACTTTCGCATTTTTGCAGAAATTTCAATTTTTCTCTAACTACTGAACAGATTTTCAAAAACTAATATAATACCAATGGAAAAACCGGCCGCTCTTCTATGTGTCTGCATATTTCGCTATTCTCTTCTCATTTTACCTCACGTCCCACTGCCTTCGAAAGTTTCAGTAAGAGGATTTTTGGCCTATTTGTTCTGAATTTTTTCATTTTCTCAAATATCAAATGCAATCTGAGATGATGGTTTCAATCAAAAGAAAAAATTATGGGAGGTTCTCGTTTTCAAGCGGCTGTTCCCTAAATTCGGTAGAAAAAAGTTATGGTCTCGAACAAACCCATTTTCTTACATTTTGGTTAAATCTTAAAATCTTGAAAAACTACCTTGCCAAATCAGAGATTAAGGATCTTGCTCAATTGGCTATGCCCTTCGTTTTCAAAAAAATATGGCTTTGGAAAATGTCCAATTTTTGAAATTTTGCCCGTCTTTGGAAAGTTTTTTTTTCAAAAACTAACTTGCTGATTCTGAGGTTGATAGTTCATTAGAATTAACATGGTGCTTATATTTTCCCTGCATGATCTGTTTTACCTTATATGTTTGTAAAAAAGCTGATATGGCGTTTTTTAAAGAAATTCAAGAACTTTTTCCGCATAAAATTTGCAATTTGATAGAAACTAGCTACTTTATTGGTGGCTAGTGTTAGTTAATTACTAGTCGTGCAGCAGATGTGAGAACGTGATACTCCTAGTCTCAACAAGTTTTTTGGGAGGTGTATTTCTAATATTTTCCTTATTCCAATTTGTTTTGCCTGTTTAGAGCTCTTTGTAGCATTTTTAACCTCTCGTGGGTTTGCGAAGCTCAGCTTCGCTTCTCTGTAACATGTGTTCTCTGCTTTACTTGTGGCTATTGTTTGCCGATCGTTAAGCGTCCGTGGCTTAGAGGGAATGAATTGAGACTCAAAATCTCGAGTTTGTAGATTCGAATCCGATATATAGCAAAAGTTTCACTAATTTGAGGCTAATTTCTACTTCTTCTTATTTCCAGTGCTGCTTTTTGGCGTTTTGTCGCTATTGTTTGCGAAGCGCAGCTTCGCCATATTGATTCTTTTTTGTGCTATGTTTACTTTGATCAGATCATTCTGTGCTACGAGCTCATTGCTCAGTGACCGGCCACCCTTCTTCGCTAGTAACAACTAAGTCGGAAACTGATGAATTTTTTTGGTTTTCAATTATCCAGTAAATACTCTTCAAGTATTTAATTTTAAATTGAATAATAATTGAGAAAATATTCTATTAATGGCCAGTTCGCCTCGCTGATTCACATTCATCTCGATTTTAATCTGCAATCTTGATTGTTCTGATTGTTGAACTGATACACGGCAAGCAAGCCAGCGTGTTGAAATTTGCATCCAAGAAAACAAACTTTTCTGTACTACCAGCTTCACTTTTGGAAAACCAAATGCAATTTTGCAGTTCTGTCTTAAAAGAAAATTGAGATGTAAAATACATTATTCCACTAATGGGTTCGTCAAAACCTCTCCACCTGTTTAAGAGTCGATTAATGTAGTTCAGACTCTTAAACACTGATATAAATCGTGATGATTTTTTTTTGTATTTTTTTCCAGGAAAAGTTTTAAATTTGCTCAGGCTCAAATTAACTGTTTCGCGGTTTGACTTTAAGATTGTAAAAAAGTAATGAACGTAGTGAAGACTCTTATGTAGGTCTTGATGATTTTTTTTCAGGAAAAAGTCTTAATATGCTCTATTAACCACAGATGTGCATTCATACATATTAACGCATTTATGTATGCACTTAGGTATATATGCACTTTTTGAGTTCAATTGGAATTCATTTGCTGAAAGTTACGTAAATAGCACTCTTCAAATACAAACGTGGAAATGGCGCGAAAAAAAACGTGAACGATTTCTAATTTAGAAAGTGGAATTTAATTTCAGGATTTCCTGCGGAATATAATTTTTACCTATTGATCCAGTTTGCTCTAATGGGGTTTGTTATCAAAAAAGCACAGATCATAAATTGTTCTAGAAATTCAAAGAGCTTAAACGGCATCTAATTTTTTCCTTGAATTTCGAAAGTTGAGATTTTTCCATTAAAGTAAGTGTTTTTTCTGCTTTCCTGCGTTCATTTCTCTTTTCCTCCTGTAAGTTGGCTATATTTTAAGTTGAGTTCATTTCTTTATTAAAAGGAAGGCAAACTCGACTATCCAACAGCGAAAGTTTAAAGGCCACGAAAAACATGATCGACTTCTTGTATCGAAAGTGGAAGTTAGTTTCGCTGTCTAAGAAAAAAGCTTACGTATTGATCCAGTTTTTTCATATTGGGTTATTTTTATCAAAAAGTGTCACAAATTGTTCTAAAAATTCAAAGAGCTGCAAGGGCATCTAATTTTTTCTTTGAATTTCGAAAGTTGAGATTTTTTCAAAAAAAAACAAGTCAGCTTTTTTTCTGTTCATTTGCTATGTTGGCTATAATTTTTAATGACCATTAGTTTTAAGGACTATTAATTTTCATAAGCCCCTGGTTGTAATCGTAGGACGAGACAGCAGTTATACTTTTCGAAATTGAAAGCAAAAGCTCTTATATTGGTGCTTTTCCTTGTAGATTTTATGATTATTAGAAGCGGAAATCAGAACGGTTTTGGTTGAATGAAAGTTGTAAGCTTATTGTATGGTTGAGAGCCTTCTGAATAATTTTTATATTCAGGAAATTAATCTTGAAATGAGCTGCTGGCGGTGGTTAAACTTAATCAATGAAACCTGAATTTTGAGTACCATTTTTTGACACATCCGTTGTTTGTTTTTTTTTGGTTCCCTTGAATTCATTGACTAACTTCCATCAGTTGTTTTTAGAGATGTTTGAAATTTTTATGCGTTGTTTAGATATGGACTGGAGTGTCTGTTCCGCTTCTACAGCTACGGCATAGAGAAGAAGTTCCGCCAGGAGTTGTTCGATGACTTCCAGACGTTCACGATAGATGACTACAAAGTGGGCCAGCTGTATGGACTGGAGAAGTTCTGGGCATTCCTGAAGTACTCGAGGAAACAGAGCAATCTGGCAATAGATCCTCAGTTGCAACAGGCTCTGGCTAGATACAAGAGTCTGGAAGATTTCCGAGTGGATGTGAGTGTGGCAGAATTTTTTCTTAGTTATGAAAAAAAAAGTATTTTTTTAATGAAAAATCGAAAGAAACCATTAACTGTTTGAAAATAAAAGCATTGGAATAGAATGCTCATTGTTGAGGTTGTTGATTTTTTTCTACACGGTTAGGCTAAGCCAAACGCCTTCATATCTGCAGATAGACTTTTCGGATCAATTTTTGAATTTAATTTGTTAACTAACGCCAAATAATACGGTGAAAACTAACCGAATTGTATTTCAAAATTATAATTAGATAAAGCTGAAAGTATTAGTCAAAGTTGGGTGATTTTTGAGCTCTTCATAGTTGAATTGATGTTTCAGCCAACAAGTTACCCACAGTCGGCACAGATCAAGGGAACTCTGCCGGCCATTGCCAGAGTCAGGACTCAATCTTCTTGCGGTGAGTTAGGTTATCGAAAACACACTTCTTTTGCTTGCTCCCAAATATTACACTGAGCGAGGCAAGCATGGCAATATTTGAATTTAACGGTGGCCTTGTATAACTTATACATTTCATAAACGATACTATTGCGAATTTCAAAGAAGGTAACAGCATATTCGTGCTCGCGTATTTTCCTCCAGACAAAGTTCTAATTTTAAACTAGCAATTTTTGACAAAATTTTTTATTTTTGTACACCGTCAGAAATATATTGGTTGTTTCTGCTCAAAACTGTTAAATTATTTACCTGCGTCATTTTTTCCGTTTAGTTAAGAAGGTTTAAAATAAACCAATTTAGGGTAAATTTTTTTTCGTGCGAATTTTCAGATTTTTATTAATGGCACGACATCGTTGACGCATTATTGCGGCTCAGAAATCATTCAAAGTTAATTGATTCAATTGAGACGATTAATTTATCACTCTGTACTGTACTTACCACGGTACTCAAAATCTTTATTAAAAATATTCCATCTTTTTTGCCGAAAGCGACTTCAACAACGATCGACAACAACTGCCCTAAATGGCATCTTATTCTATATAAAAGCTGATTTGTATAAGGATAAATCATGTCAAAGAACACTGATGGTCGCCCTAGTCTTGACTGCAGTCTTTGATACTGTTCATCACATCACCATCATCTTATCAACGATATTTCCAGCAAAACTCTCGCGAAGGTAAGCAAGAATCCATCTTTTGGTGCTATTAGAATTTTTTGATGTTTTTGTTGGTGGGTTGAGGATTTTGGACATAAAGAGGTTAATTAGTGCGACCACCTTGTTTCAACTTCCTGTGATTTAATTTGGTATCTCTGAAATCTTTATAAGTGTGTCTTCGCGAAGGTAAGCAAGAATCCATCTTTTGGTGCTATTAAAGACACACTTATAAAGAATTCAGAGATACTAATTTAAATCACAGGAAGTTGAAACAAGGTGGTCGCACTAATTAACCTCTTTATGTCCAAAATCCTCAACCCACCATAAATAACGTCAAAATATCTACGAATATAACAGAAAGATGATATTACTCCCACAACGCCTGATCACGACACCTGATTTGAGAGAAATTATGAGTTCAGATCTAGACAGCCTCAACAACTGGCTTTAAATCGGAAATCTTTCTCTATCCAAAGACAAATCAACAACGTCTATTTTTTCAACATGGCCTAATGAGTTTTCCCTTGAACCAGATGCAATGGTCGATGGCGCCAAACTACCTGCTAGTCGAAACCCAAATATTCTCAATGTAATGTTTAAAGCAAGGGGAAAGAGTGTCTAGAACTATGCAGCTCCCATTTGTACCCCCACACTTAGTTATACCAACTGCCAGCGACTTCAAGTGAAACGGAACAATGCGCTAAGAACAAAAACATAGTGCTTACAAATGAGTGACATCACACATCTACGTGACGAAAAGAAAATCCTTCCTGTCAGAACACATTGAAATGCTCTCAAAGCAGTTCCTTCTTGGCTGCTGTCAAATTCATAGAGCTGACCATTCCACTATTAACCACAAAGGCTTCAATCGGAACCTCAGACCCACCCTCGGACATAGTTCAATCCCGGCATTGAACACCTGCTTACCGAAAACTAAGAGAGCATCTCTAAGCTTGATTATGTCCATGGAGTTAAATTACTTACTCATCAAAAGGACAGAAGTTTCCTAATGAAAATTTAAGCTACTGGGCAGAAGACCACCAGGTATATCACCAAACGAAAGTAAACTTGACCGGAAAACGAGATGTACTCTCACAACTTCGATCCGGATACTCAACTTTTTAAATAGTTACCATCTTAGACTGAACAATGTACCCGACGTCTGTTCAAGTTATTACATAGGACCACACATCACCGACTATTTAATTGCCAGTGCACGATACCTTCCTTACCATCGAGAGCTTTTAAGAGAATCACGAAGCTGCCAATCATCTGCAACTCATCACGTAACCTGACTTACCGGGAGTTTTTCTCGCTACCTAACAACTGTCAGCCTAACAATCGGGCATACAGTTTTACTCAGTTCTCTTACCGAAAAACCTGAACACACGCAAACCTCCCTCTTAAGCGTGCTATACAGAGAGGAGGTGTCGAAACTAGCAAAGGCGCTATCACTGGAACAGTTGGTTCCGCTTCTACATCGGTTTTGCCACTAGAGACCCTGGGTGAGCTGCTGTGGGGTACATTTGACGAGACCACCCAGTCAACCAAGCCAATATAAACAAAATTCCTTTGCTCTCTGTCTCTCAAACATAATCGATCTCTCCAGTTTAATCAGAAGTTCAACGCAGAGATCGATGTAGCAACAACAACCAAAAGTTTTTTCGAACATTCAGGGCTTCGCCACGATACAGGCAGTTTGTTGAGTTTCGTTCCTATCCAGTTTTAGTTTAAAATTAGTTATGCATAAATTAGAGCTAGCTTAATTACCCTAAAGTGTACGTTATTGTTCCGAGTTTTAAAGAAAGTGACGGAATATTTCTGAAAACAAAATCATTCCAATTTCGATGATTTTGTTTTCATGAAATGTCTTAAAATTTGTTCAGGCTCAAATCTACTTTTTCGATGTTTGACTTTTGATTTTTTTTTTAGGTTCGTTGATTTCCTTTCTTAAAAAGAAGGTAAACTTCACTATCGATCAGTGGAAGCGTAAAGGTCACGAAAAATATGATCGACTTCTAGTTTCGAAATTAAAAATTTATTATCGAATTTCTTAGCGAAGTAAAAATTTTATCTATTGATCCAGTTCTCTTAAATTGAATTTATTTAATCAAAAAGTGTCAATCATAAATTGTTCTGGAAGTCCAAAAAATTTAAAGGCCATCAATTTCTTTGAAATTCAAAAGTTTATTTTTTTTTCAAAAATTGAGTCCTTATGTTTTTTCTGTATGCTAGCGTCCATTGACTCTTCCAATTGTCTGTTATTTATGGTTTTGAGATTTACAAACTGTTGCGGAGTAAGTAAGAATACCACAGTTTTACTAATAAATAAACCCTTCACATCAACATATTAAATTTGAAGGTAATTAGCAACTTTAAAGAAGGTTGAGGCAAATTTCGGTGAGTTTTAATTCGTGCATAAGAATATATTCTTTTTTTGTTCCGACTTTCGAAGAAAGTGACAGAATAGTTGTGCTCCGAGTGGTTTCTCTCCAGCGTTTTTTATCCAGCTTTATTGTGGAGTTTGTCTTCTTTTTAATAATGGAAATATTGTTGTTGTGCTTGCGGTTCGACTGTTTCACTAGCCTTCTGTTCTCGGGGATTTGTACCATCATAATTTCAGTGATGTCCTGAGTTCAAATTTAAAGGTATATTTTTACATGTGATCATTTTTCAACGTTATGCGGATTGCTAATTTGGGACGATTAACGCTGCTCATAAATCGTTTCAAACTCAATTGAGGCTAGATATTTGGTGTTATTAGTACGTTACTAGTCGCTAAGAATATCACTCTGTATTTGGCGTAGCGTGTAGTTGAAAACATTTCAAAAAATATTTCTTTTTTTGAAAAGTTTATCAGTTTGTTGATGTTTTCAAAAGCTGTCTCAAGGACATTGAAAGACAGTATAACATTCAGGGTTTCGGCCTAATACGAACAGGTTTGTTTTGGCATTTAAATTTAAAAGAACGAGGAGATTTGTGGGTGAGTTTTTTTCTGAAAAAGTCTTGAAAAATTTTCCACGCTCAAATTTGATTTTTCGCGGTTCGATTTTTGATTTGTTTCTAATTTTAATGCATTTCTTTTAATAAAATGACGGCAAACTTCACTCTTGAACTGCAAAAGTGTAAAGTTCACGAAAAACATGATCGGCTTCTAGTTTCGAAAGTGGATTTCAGTTTTCAGATTTTGCAACGGAATAAATAAATTACTTATTGAAACCAGTTTTTCTAAATGGAATGATAGTTGTAGTTAAAATATGTTGTCCATAATTAATTCTTGAAGTCAAAGAGCTTCAAATGATGTTAATCCTAAGGAGGTATGTAAAGGGGGTATGTAAATATTTTTGTTCAACTTATTTTCAGAGACCAACCCCAAACAAGGAATGGCAGGCTCTTCCTCAGACGAGGGAAAGTTTACTGCAGAATTGGGAGATAGCCAGGAAAGCGAGGAGCGAGAAGGCGATTACGAGCAAGCGGGGAAAGAGAACAAGGAAAATGAAGGGGCAGCCAAGTCAGTTGAAGCTTCAGTTGAATCAGCTGCCTAGTTGATCAAACTAAACAGTTGTCCGCTTTTTGTGTCTAAGAGATGTTTTGGTGACAAGAGATGTGTTGCAATTGGTTTGGTTAATGAAACAAAAAAAAGCTTTTGTAAGGAGCTTTAAGTTAGACTCCGTGAAACTAAAACTGTAAAAACTTTAGTTGATTTTAGCTTCAAAATACAAATAGAAAATGACGCTTCCTGTACCGTACTGGGCTCGTACTTTATTTTGCGTATTGGCAGAACTTTTATGTTTATGCAGAAGTAATTCTTGTTAGGTAAAGTAAACTGAATTAAGTAAACTCTATCCATACCTGTGTATTATTAATCATCTCCACATGATCGATCACGCTCATCATTGATTGATGCGTAAATTTAAGATGTAAACTTTATGTTCATATTGCGACCAGTTTTCTCTTCCTCACTTAGAAGATAACAAAAAAAGAAGATTTGAATTGGACAGTTTGCGCTAGTGAGGAAGATCAAATATTCTGTATCTTAGTTTTTTTGACCATTGCTACATTTATCTTAATGTTGTATCATTGGGTGCGTTAATTAACTTTTTTTGCATCGTTATTTTTTAGCTCAATTGCTTTGAAGCAACCGAGAGCCCAATAATGGACACATTTTCGGTTAGTTGTCTGTTATTAGACAATGTGTATGATTGCCACTTAAGGCTAAAAGAACGAGGCTTCGGAGTGTTTTAGATGTCGAGATGACAGATTTTTTTTTGAAAAGTTGGATCAACCGTACAATCCCCCCCCCCCCCCCCCCAATCGATTTAGGAGAAAACGTGGATTTTTCTCAAGCTAACTTTGAGTTGAGCCTAGATTCGTTGAAATATAACCGTATTACTAAAGAAAATAAAATTAAAACAATAGTTGGTGTAATTAATAGCATACAAATGCAATCTCGCATAAAAATTGTACGGTTGATCCGATAAATTGTTACAACTCTTAGTAATAATGAACGAAGTGATTCATTACTGGAACAAGAGGAAATTATTAAACTCAAAAATAGGCTTTACTTGGAAAAATTTCAGTTAGAATTTGAAAAGTTTTACATTGACATAAATTGACCGAGAGCAAGTTATCTGAGCTAACCTGTATGGGAGGGTTTAGTCCGTATTAGAAATTGCTAGTTTGCAAGTTTTTTAACGGCGTTAAAATATAATTATCAAGATGGTACCAGTTGTTTTGTTCCTGTAGTTAGAAATAAATCATCGAGGAAACTGGTTCATTAAGTGTGTTATTTTTTGAAACCGAAGGTTGATATTTTTCAAATAAGGAAACTTATTAAATCTGTTGGTAAATGTTTTTTTTCTAGCTATCAGAGGATAAATTTATAAAATGGTCTTCAGTTTAGACCTTTTTATCGAAAATTATTTTGTTCTTTCGTTATCATTTTTATCTGACTAGAAAATTTGAGCATAATTCTTAGTGAAAATATGTCTACATCCATAAAACATTTTTTAAATGAGCAGTGATAAAACTTGCAATATAGGTTTAAAAAAGGTTCGTACTAAAACACTAGCTGCTGGCTAGTGTAAAAAATTTCAAGGAAATCAACGGAAAACAATTTTTGTAAACTATTTTTCATCGTTCGGACTTCCAAGACACAACATCTTGTTCTGAAATTCTTTGAATTTGGAAAACATTTTTATCATTGACGTTTCATTAAAATAACCCAATAAAAGAAAACTGAATCAATATTAGATCGCAACGTGCTTTCCATTTATTAGCGTAAGCTAAATTTAGCTTAATTTAAAAATTGGAAGGCACGTTGCAATCTCCTACTATTGATTCAATTGTCTTACATTGGGTTATTTTAATGAAACGTCAACGATAATATCTTTTCTAAATTCAAAAAATTTTAACGAGATTTTACTTCTTGGAAGTTGAACGAGGAAAAATGTTTTAAAACATTGTTTTCCGTTGATTTCATTGACATTTTATACACTAGCGATCAGTTAGTGTTTTAGTGCGAACCTTCTGGCTCTAGCCTAAATCGCGAATAAAAGTGTTCATTTTTTAGTAGCAAATTGTTCATTATTTGTTGGCACTTGCTATAATCACGATCTGTAATATTAAAAATTTCATAGGAACTTCTTGGCTTAATTTGTGGCTAGTGTTTGTGTTGAATTGAGTGGTCGTGGCTCACTGGTTAGTGCGTGAGACTCATTATCTCGAGGTTGCGATTGGTCAAAGATCGAATCCGAGACAGCCGAATTTTTACTAATTCAAGGCTTTTATTTCTACTTTTTCTTATTGCATTTTATAGAGCTGCTTGTTGTCGTCTTCTGGCTAGCGTTTCCGAAGCGCAGTTTTTGCTTCTGTCAATTTTCTGTCGGCTCACGTTTTAACAATTAAATTTTATTTAACATTGATTAGATCGAGCTACAGTTGCTTGTTTCAACTGAAAATTTCATGCTCTCATAGCTATAGTATTTCATACACGTTGGTAAAGAAAACTTCATAAGATCAGCTCAGACAAGACGCCAGCTCAGGAGTGTATGATATTGTGTGCAAAGATTTGACACACCATTTTCTTCTAATTATGCCTAGCTTTTTCAGCAATCGTGATTCGTTGACTAGGTAAACATAACTTTAAATCGATCCATGTGGAAGTGATGAGTGAAGAAGTTTTCAGCTTTTTTACTTTCCAGACGCGTTGTTTCATTTTCGAAGAGAAACTATAAGCAAATTGGGTTGCGTTATACTGAAAATAACTGAAAAGTGCTCTGAAAAAGGAAACCAATGGTTTTATTGTTGATCGAAGTTCATTATAAAACATGATGGAGCAAAGTAAGTTTTCACCTATTAGTAGTTCTAGGAACCTGTTGAAAAACCGATAAAGTTTCGTTAGTACTACCTACCAAGTGGCCATTTAGCCAAAAATACATAGTTAGACGCGCGTTGGACCGAAAACAATATCGACATGAAATTTATAGTTATGAAAGAATTTACCTATCTCTAATGAAACATATAAAAGCAACAAGATCAATTTCACACTTCAAACATCCAAGCTTGATATGGATAAAGTACGCACGTACATTTAAAAGCTACGAACGATTTTCAATTATAGCAAAAAGTTCAAATGAGAACAGTTCAATTTTCGCCAGAAAAAACTCATTTCAAGATCCTCGAAAAAACCTCGATTAGGATTCAAACTTCAGGCCTTATTTCAAGTCTCACTACTCTATTTGGTCTGTTTGCAAAAAACTTGTTTTCCTATCTTAATTTGAATCCCAGCCGGACCTTGTTTTCTTTCGGCATGTTTGAAATGAGTTTCTAGGGAAGCTTGAACTGCCGGACTATCATTTGTCTGTTTTTGTTTTTCGGCCTTACTTCCAAAGCAACAAACAAACAATTGATTTTTTTGTCTTTTTCTGTACCAACTTAGCCATCTTACAATTCTTCATTTGAAAAAACCTCATTTTCATGCTTCATTACGTTTCACGAGGAATGGAATGTAAAAAGGGATGGGTTGTCTTTACGTTTTGAAACAGTTGCTCAAAATATTTATGGACAACACGATAACTTTCATTTTATTTTTGTTTTCGGCTCAACGAGCGTCTTCGCAAGTTTTGTCCGAGACAGTGGATATATGGCCACTCTGTAAATAAATAATAGTGATTGTTAACGCTGATTATTGTTTTTGTTGAATCTGTTTGCTGAAATTGAATATCAGTCGGGAGAAACTTATATATTTATAATTACTTAGAGTTTATATAGTTGTGATTTGTTTCAACATTGATTGCTAATGTTCTTTTTCTAATTAGTAAATGATTTTGCAAATTAAATAGTCAATTGACTCAAAAAAAAATTGCCTTTCAAAGTTTGTTTTGAATTGGTCAAACTTAAAGCGATTGTAAAACTACTTCAAAAAAAATCAATTTGAAAATTTGGTTATTTTTTGAAATATTTGCGTCAGAAAATTCAGAAAGAATGCGACAACCAAATGTACTAGCTCAATTGTTATTTCGACCACTTCAATGGGAAAGAACTTAAGCGTACGGTGTGTTTGTTTTCAAAAAGGCTTTTTTGATTCCAAATAACTATATTGGGATTCAGAAAAAAAAACAAAAAGGCATCTCAGTGTCTAGAAATTTGGGTCTGAGCGCTTTTGATTAATTTGTTATTACGGTTGAAAATTTTGTGTTTTTTGCACCAGATTTTTTTTTGCCGTAAAAGATTCTAGAAGGTATAATTGACGTTGCCTATTAAATTTCAAGTTATTTGCATGGTCAACTCATTAGGACAACTCTAGAAGGTAATTTTCACGACTGCTGACTTGCTCGGTTCCTTGAAATTTTAATTAATTACCCTCTTTTAGGCTAGGTATTTCTAAGGTTGAGTTTTTTTCTGGACGGTACTGTATTGGACTCCTTGGTTTGGGTTTTATTTTGATGTAAGCAGTTTTTTTATTATTTTGAAAATTCTGTAAATTGTAAGTTTACTAATTCTGATTTTGATTAGCTTTATTTTTTCTTCTTTTTTTTTCATTTAAACGCTTTTGGTTTATGTTATTACGGCTTTGTCAACTCATAATGAGTATCGTTAATGGCAAAACAAATTTTCATGCTTTTATGGGGTTCATTTTTAATAGGTGATAAAAAATTGTTAAATTTCTTAAGCTCAAAATATTTACCACAACAGTTTTAGTTGCGGATGAACAGAGGTCGATCCGAATTTTGTCGCCGTAGTGACCGCTTGGTTAATGAATGACATTGTTTTTAAGACTGTTTATGAAAAGAAGATTTGCAGGTATACATTTTTTTGTAGTTATTGCTTCAAGTCTTTCTTTCCACTTAATTTTTTGACATAAAAGTCGACTTCATTTGCTTGTATTTTCACTGCGTATCGCAATGATTTTGTTGTATCGCAAGTGCTTCAAGGCTCCGATTTGCCTGTGTGTTTTTTGTTTTGCTTCCAAAAATCTAGTTCTGAACGTTACTGCCTTGTAATCCTTACCTTCTTGAAAAATCAATATAGCATTGGCTTTGAATGCCCCAATTTTGTCTATGACACTTCGTTTGTGGTTTAATTGGCGTCTACTCCAATATTGTCGGCTTGTCTGCCACTACTTTCGACTTTGTTGCTTCCGTCTCATTTTCTGCCTATGAATTTATAATGCTAGGTTTGTTTCGTTGCCTTTTGGGACGCTAGTTCCTCCTTTGTTCTCTGTTTTTCGATTTAGGTCTTTTTTGGTTTTTGTCATAAATGGCTTGAATATCCGTTGTGTTCCGAGTGCTTGTCTGTTCCTTGACTGTCTTATAACTTCTTTGATGTGCTTTGGGCGGTTGCCTGTTGTTTGCTAATGTCTCCTAAGTCGGAAAAACTTGACTTGGCCCTTGGTAAATGTTTATATGCTACAAAATCTTTTCATTTAAGCCGCAGTTGCTTACCGTTCTCCCTTTCTCATCTTTCTCATCTTTGCGTTTTCTGTGCGGTTAGCCAACGGAATGGTTTTCCTATTCTTAATTGGCGATGTTGTTTTTTGGACTTTCTTCAGTATGATAATTATTAAATATATAGTTCTAAGCCTGTTGATGTGTGTTATTACACTATCTGTGTTTGCTGGAAAGTTTCATATACAATCCCACAAAACACAGAGGCTTTACCGGTTGGTTAGCGGGCAATACCTATCCCGGCGTTGCACGTCAATACCTATCCCGGCGTTGCACGTCAATACGCTGCTATAGTCAGTTTTGTTCAACTTACACCCCAACAAGCGAGATTTTTGTTCAAGTAGGATGATTTCAAATCAAAGCAAACAAAATTAAAGCAAAAAAACTTATCCAATGGTTATTAATTGTCATGATTTAATTAAATTATTCATAGCGTGCGTTCAATGAGATCTGACGTGTCCGTCTTTTCTTTCCTGCAAGCAATTTTTGCCCGTTCAAAAATTTTCTGAGAGTTTTAACCGGGCAAAAAGCGCTTGCAGAAATGAAAAGAAAGGCACGTCAGATTTCATGGAATGCATATTACCACTAATTCATTTGAATACTTTCAGGTAAAACTTGAATTATCACTTATTTACCTTACAGCAAGCTACCAATAGCTTGCGCCAGATAACAAAAAAATTAAAGCAGAGCATAACTAAATCAATCGTTTCAAAAAACATCCAACAATTTCATTCGTCAGTCAAAATTGTTGCCCAAACAAAAGGCGTCTTAATGTTCTAAATCAGTTTCACAACATAAAACAACATTCATCAACCCTTATTACTTGATTACAAAAAAAAAAGATTTGTAAGTTCGTTCAAAACTAATAAAACCACAATTGCCAAGCACTTGAACTACAAATGCTATTATCAAACAGTTGATCTTGCTTCAAACAGAAATCAAACAGTCATGTTAGTACGTGTTTGAAATTATGAATTGATTATTTTTTCCAAATTTTTCATATAACAGTATAAAAAATTCAGTGAACGGCCTAACTGCAGAAGGTAGCCAGGCTCATCTTTCAAGAAACATTTTATAAATAGTTTTACCCCTAATAACCTTGTTTTTGCTCCTCATTACATCTGAAATGTCGAACTTTTGATTATGAGTTTAAAACGAATAAATTTTTTGAAGCCTAATTTTTAATTTTCTAATTTTTTTCCAAACTGTGGAGAGTCAATTGATAACACAGCAATAAAGGTGAAGTTTATCTAAAATTATAAGGTTACTTTCTTATTTAAATTTCCGACTTTTTTCCGAATACTGAGATTGAAGTTTTCCAATTTTGTCTGATTAAGTTACTGAGCGAATATGATTCAAGTTTCGATCTTTAAAAAGAAAAAAATTTGTATTCTAAAAGAACTACATGTATTACAGCAACAACAAATTATACCCTTTTTCAATTGACAGTAAGCTGAACAACTTAATTCAATCACAGTTTCGTCAATTTTTCAAAGTATTTAATGACTCAATTTTTTATGATCACCATGTGATGATGACAAATGTTTGAAAATTTTATGTTTTATGTGCCAAGTAATTTTGGTTTGTTAGATAATGAATGTTTTTGTTGCTCCATTTAAATGCTTGTGACACTTATTTCGTCATTTTTGAGCTTTTTCTTCAAAGTTAATGGCCATAGGATATAATTGCATGTTTAGCTATATCGTATACAGCAACGCCTAAAGAGAGCAGGGCATCATAGAGTAGTGTAGTTTAAAAAGTATTCATCCAGTCGTAGATCCAGATATCTGGCCACCTATCCTTACCTCTGTCAAGCCATTTATTCATTTGTAAAAACATCCATGTATTTAAACATTCAAGGATCCATTCAACCAGTGATCTATCCATCAAGCCACTTTGTAATCAGCCAATCATCCATCGCGTCATCCGACAAGCCATTAACTCATCCATTAATCAATCCAACCTTCCATACAGCAGCAATTTATGTATTCATCGTCCAAATATTCAGTCATCTAAACATCTATTCATCCATCCATCAACAACGCTATGTATCCAATCAGTCATCCATCCAAGTGGCATCATTATATCCATGCATCTGATTAACTAGCCAGCCATTCAGCCATTTATTCATCCGAAGAGCTTTTCGTTTAGTCAACCATCGTTCCATCAACCAGCCATCCATTCATCAAACCAGTCTATGTAATTAAAACAGCCATCTTGTTGTGATAAACTTAGCCTAATTGTTGTGATAAACTTATTAAATAGTTTCAGAGAGGGCAGATGGATTCGATTAGTGATGCTACTGATGCAAATGATATTTCAATTGAGAGAAACACAGATGTGCCGGGACTGAGGTATCATTATCAGACTCCAGTATCAAAACCAACACCAAAACGGCCAAATATTGTACTGAGCCCATGTGACGAAGAAAATTCAGAGGACGATGTGACTGGGTAGCTGAAGCATACCATTGAAGAGTCAATGAAGTTGTTGATACCCAGCCTTGTAGAGCAAATAAAAGCGCAACTAATGACTGCAATCAACGTCGCTGTTGAGTCCGCAATAAACAACATGAAGAAGGAAATCATCTCATCCTCCAAAATGGAAATAGCATCTCAGGCGAATGTCAGCTATCTTAGGACTTCATCTGAAGCAGAAAAACTTGAATCATATAATCGACGAGATAACCTAAGAATTCTAGGAATCCCCGAGTGTTTGGAAGGAGAGAATAATCGTGAGAACTTTGATACAACGATAGCGAAGGTAGTGGAGATTTCTCATGATATTGGTGCAAATGTGCGAGCGTCAGATATCTCAATAGCTCATCGATTGCCATCTCGATCAAATAGAGGCAAACCAATTATCGTTCGTTTCGCCAGAAGAATCGCCAAAATCAACTTGCTGCGAAACAAAAAACAAGATGGCAGATAAAGAAGGTTTGAAAAATATAAGCGTCTTTGAAGACTTATCAAAGGCTCGTGTCAATTTCATAAAAATGATGAAGAGTGGTTGCCGAATTAAATCTGCGTGGACCCGAGAAGGTGTAATCCATTATATATGGAAGGCAGACGAGCGACTATATCGTATCGATGGACTTTATGAAGGCGGGAGTTCCTTGAAATACAGATTTCAAGATGTGATGAATTGCTTCCAAAGTGTTTTCCACGAGGCAGGAGATAAAGGAGGATCGTAAACAATCTAGTGATGTTAATGTCGTTAATTCAAAACTAAATATTTCACAGAATAACAGTAGTTTCATTAATAAATCTGAAAATTCCAAAGTTTCGGTGCTACATTTAAATATAAGATCTTTAAAACCGCACTTTGACAAATTGGAAGCACTTATTCTAAGCCTTGAGTCTCCACCTGATATAATTTGTATAACGAAAACTTGGTTAACAAAAAATGATCCAAGTGAAAGCTGGTTAATCAATGGTTATAATCAGTATTTTACAAAAAATCGCGAAACACCAGGTGGTGGTGTAATGATCCAAGCAAGAAACACATGCTGCTTGCTGAATCAACTTGATTCATTTTCAGAAGAAAGCTTAACGGTCGATATCTTAAAAAATGGCTATAAATTCTCATTATGTCTGATTTATAACCCACCAAAATCAAACAAAATGCAATTCATTGATAGGCTTGATGAGTTTTTGGAAAATTCAAAAAGTGCAAATCATCCGATCATTCTTTGTGGTGATCTTAACGTTGATATAATACCTGATAACTTACTGAGCCAAAATTATTTAAATTGTATTCATTCAAATGGTTTTTCAATAAACGGTCGTGAACCAACTCGCGTTACAGCCACCTCTTCAACTTGTTTGGATCATTTCATTTTCGACAATTTAACTGAACCTCATTCAATGGTACTAAATAGTGAACATTTATCAGATCATTATCCAATACACTTGGAATGGGTCATAAAGTGTCAAATTGTTAATAATGAAATTCCGTTTCGCGATACATCATTCTTAAAAAGTCGGAGCCAAGTTCAAGAGTTTTTAAAAATTGCGGAAAGTAAATTGGCCTCACATAAAATAGTAATTTTTGAAATGAATGATGCAGATTCAGCTTTCAATTTGTTCGCAAAATCTTTCGAAGAGGTATTGAATATGTTTGCACCATTAAAAACCAAGAAAAATTTGGTCACAAAGCAACCCGCCTGGTACGAAAATAAACTTAAAAACCTTAGAACAAAGCGAAATAATGCACACCAAAAATGGAAATTGAATCAGAATAATTATCAACTGCTTCAAACGTTCAGAAGTTTAAGAGATCGTTTTGAGAAAGAAATAAAATTATCTAAAAAGAATTATTATTGGAATAAATTCAAAAACTGTATAGGAGACTCAAGGCAGACATAAAAAATTTTAAACGATATCAGTGGTAAAAGTAACAAAAACAGCAAGATTCTTCCATTGCAATCATGCATTGATGAAAAGGATAATGCAACAGACAGAGATGTTGCTGATAAATTTAACTATTTTTTCACCACAGTTGGAAAAGGACTTCAAAATGATGTTCCTAATGTTGATAGGTTTAACGTTGAATATGTTCCATATTCCATGCTTCTGAAAAAAACATGCGAAACAGAAGTTTTTAAAGTCCTAAATTACCTAAATAATAAAAGCTCGTCCGGTGATGATAACATCAGTAACCTTATTGTGAAAACTTCAGCGAAAGTCGTGGCACCATATCTAAGCTTCTTAATCAACTTATCATTCACAAAAGGCGTGTTTCCTAAAGAACTTTGTAAAGCGAAAGTACTGCCGCTTCATAAAGATGGATCAAAACTTGATGAGAACAATTATAGACCAATTTCACTTTTAATTGATTGGAGTAAAATCTAAGAGCGCATTATGTATAACCGTATTTATTCTTATTTAGAGAATTTTTCTCTCTTTTATGCAAAACAATTTGGTTTTCGTAATAAGCATAGCACAATTGATGCACTTGCTGAACTTACCGAAAGAATTAGAATGTATCCTTCTTCGAATGAAATTTTTAGTTTTTTTCCTTGACTTGAAGAAAGCTTTTGACACTATTGACCATAATATTTTGCTATACAAATTGGATATGTATGGGTTTAGGGGTAACTGTTTAAAATGGTTGAGCTCATATCTCAGTAATCGCATACAGAGAGTTGTAGTAAATGGTGTTTGATCTAGCTGGAGTAAAATAGAATGTGGTGTACCACAAGGCTCAATTTTAGGTCCCTTGCTTTTTCTATTATATATAAATGACCTCCCTAAAGCATGCGAAACATCGGAAGTTTTGCTATTCGCAGACGATACGAATCTAACATCAATAGGTTGTCAAATAATTGACGTTCAAAAAGACATGACGTCTTTAAATAACTGGCTACAGGCAAATAAATTGGTGATTAACCTATCCAAAATAGTTCAAATGAATGTAAAGTTAAGTGCTTCCAATCATTTATTTCAGTTAAACTCTTGCTCGATAAATACGAAACCTGTTTGTAAATATTTAGGCATTTACATAGACTCCAAATTTTCTTTTAAAAGTCATATCGATTTCGTCAAAAAGAAACTTAGTAAACAATGCGGTATAGTTTCAAAGCTACGGCACTACGTGCCGAGGTCTCAAATGATCGAATACTACAGTAGCAATGTCGTTCCCATTCTCCAGTATGGCATTTTAATTTATGGTTGTTGCAGCTATTCGCAGCTGGAACAACTTAATGTTTTACAAAAGAAAATCCTCAAATTCGTTTTTTTCAGACAACGTCGAGATCGTAGTAATGATATTTTTGAAAAATATAGTTTGTTAACCGTTTATGAGTATCATCTCTATGAGCTATTAAAATTTGTTCTTAAATCAGTTATTGGTGTTCATAATGATAGCTTTCTGAATGATTTATTTGTTTTTCAAATCGCAAAAAGAGCTACTAGAAATTCTGATAGCAGCCTTCTGTTCGAACCATTTTGTAAACGCAAAATTGAGCGCTTCTCGATTCGATATCGCGCTTGTAAACTTTTTAATAAGCTGTGGGTTCTGAATTTGATACCTGCACACGTCAAAAGTTGTTCTTGTTCAGAAATTTTGGCAATTTACCATTCTTTGAAAATATACCTGGTACAAAACCATGAATTAGTGTAACATATATTTGGCTTATAAAAAAAAATTTAAAACCCATACCTGTTGGTTGCATGCTACAGGACTACCAGCTATTTATCAACTTTTTTGTGTAAAAAAATGACCTCCCAAATCTTTCTAGTTTTCGAGATATCGAGGTTTTTTGATTTTTTTTTTTGGATTTTTCTCACTAATTGTTTTCGAAAAACTTGAAAAAAAAATTATACATATAATATTACAGCGCCCTGGAAGTATTGTTAAGTTTAGTATTGTTAAGTTCAGTAGTTAGTTAATGTCAACATAAATTTATAAATAGATATAATTTTTTTTTCCACGAGCTGTAGCTTTTGTAGTTAAATAAAAATATATTTGCTCGCATTGTTTAATTTGATTTGTTTCATTAGAGATGTTTCATTTGAATAGAAGGGTAGATTTTTAGTGGACCAACAGGTCCCGTCGTCTATCCGTTTCTGCTTTAAATGTGGCAAATTTAATTATGTTGATATATTGTTTATAAAAAGAAAAATATATTCTTTCTTTCTTTCTTTCTTATCTATAATTCCAATCGCCGATCCAACCAGCTATTTATTTAGCCAACTCTATAGTTCAACCCTGCCAACCATCCCTTTATCTAACAACCTAGCCTTTTATGCCATTGCTTTTCCATCTTTTCTTTCGGAATGTTATCCCTCCCTCGAGCCAACCATTTATCTAGCTGTACTACATCTCTCCATATAGGCATTCAGTCCATATATCTATCCAAACATCCATCAAGCCATAACTACATCCTGTCGATTTACCCAGCTATTTACCCTTCATGCCGATTATCCCTTTAGTCAAGCTATCCGGCCAAGCATCCATTCATGCTGCCATCCATCCATCCAACAAATCAACCATTTTTTGAACTACCCATCCAACGAGTCAACCATCTATCTAGCTCTACATCATCTAGCCGATCATTGTCCATCCAGCGAGTTCTCCCTCAAAGCATCCTTTTAACTATTTATCCATTAGTCTTCGATCAGTCCAACAATCGAGCCATCCATGCAACTATCGACTCATTCCTTTATCTAGCCAACTCTCCATCCATCAAGCCATCCATGCATAACGCCATGCATTCATCAAGCCATCGTTCAATCATCTATTGTCCATACGTATATGCAG